TTCGGCAGTCAATATCTGTCTCTTTGCTGGTGGGAAAGTACAGTTATACATTACAGCAGCAAGTGCAGCTCTGCCCCAAGCTGTAGAAGCCAGCCTTTTCAGTCAACATTTGGGCACATGCTCCTTTGTTTCCTGTTCTAGAATCTGCTTTTGCACCACATAGCTGTAACTGCTCTTCATTTTGGGGAAAAAACTGTATGGAGATGGGGTGGGGAGGGAAGAGCTTATGAAAATTCATTTCTCTTCAATGTTAAGAGACCAGATTCAGAGGCTCGTCCTTGTTATCTGATGCTATCAAATCCAGGGTCTTAATTTTTGTGATTGGAAAGGAAACAAACAGTTAAGTTTGAGCACATTTGAGCTGGGCATTTTGTGTTTGTGAATTTGAATTATGTTCTTGTTTTTTAAAACGCACTTTTAAAATGCTGTTAGCTTAGAATAGAATTCTAATGAATTTATTAAAGTTTTCAAAACCACTGCATCCAGCTTCTAGTTTTTGTACTTGGCACTTATAATACTGATGATTTAGGTATAATCTTTCTGATTTATTTGGGAGTTAGTTGCATCTCTTAGTATCTTTGAACTCCTTTGAATACTGTTGTTTAAATTTAACATGTTGATTATTTAGTAGATTGGATTGCAGGTAAAAAGGAGTTGTCTAAAGTTTTTATTAAATTTTCATTAAATATAACTTAACATTAAATTTTATCTGAGTATTTCCTGCTAAGTATCTCTGAATCCACCTATTTAAATTTTTTTTGAGTAAAAAATTTGTGTAAACAGGCAAATAGAATTAAATGATAAATAATTTCAGACTAGTAGCAACTTCAATGTATTCCTCAATGTGACTTTTTTGTTGATTTTTGTCTCTTAGGATAATCCCACAGTAGTTGTTGAAGACTTGCGGCTTTGCACGGTTAAACACTGTGAAGACATAGAAAGACGTTTCTGTTTTGAGGTGGTTTCTCCAACAAAGTAAGGAGAAGTGATGGAGCATGTTTATTTAAAAATAATAAAAAAAATCATTACATTCAGTTGTCTTGAAATGCAAGATTAACATTTCTCTTGGGATGGATCAAAACAGGAAAAGTATCTGAACATTTCTGTTCTCTGAAATTTTGCCAAAGAGTAAGTGATGCTGTGAGAAGTGTTCATAGTGTTTAGTTTTCTTTTGGCATTGAAATAAACATGCATTCTTGTGCTGTATGCATAAATGCCTTGTGGTTGTGGAGCTGTTGTGACTTAGTAGTAGCTGATACTCTCAAGCTGCTTAGTAATGTAGAAAATAGATCTCAGTTTCTCCAAATTTCTTGTTGGTGTAGTGAGAGAGAAACACATTAAGTTGATGTCTCAGTAGTGTTAAATTACACTTGAGAATTCACTAAATGAAACTACCAAATAAAAATGTTTTTGAGCTCTAGCAGTGCAGTGTATTGGTTGTATTTGGAGAAATATGGCAGTCCTGCCGCAGCAAGGGCAGGACATGGGTTTCTATTTAGTGATTTTGAGATGTGACCGTATTTAAGTTTTTTATATAAGGTCAACCTGCTTTTAGGTTTGGATGTTATCTACATTCTCCACTCCTACTTATGTTTCTCTTTTTAATAGATTGCTGCCCTCAGTTGTGGTTCACTTTTATAGGCATTTGCTCCTGCTTGCCTATACTTTTTCAACCCAGAAGTGTTGAAACAGTTCTATACTTCCATGACCTGTTTCATTTGGCTATTGGTGTGAAAAGTAGTTCATTGTCAGAGAGCTTTAAAGTAATTTTCTCTTGATCTCAGTGAATGAAACTGCATTTTCAAGGACTATTACCTGTATCTTATGTAATTAGTCATGGAGGTAAATTACATGTAAGGATATAAAAAAGAAAAACTTGGAATAAGAAAAGAAAGGGAATAGGAAGCTAAGCCATTCTTTAGGTTATTTGAAGAGTCGTACCTGTGTTTTAGCATTACCTGCAAAGAGTTTTGAAACAAGGAGTTTGCAATTTATAAAGGGTCAACTGCTTTGTATCTCAAAATAAACGGGTTTATTAGATGATGCCTACTAAACAATATACTTGTGGTGATAGCAAGAAACTTTCTCAACAGTCTTTGTTTTATTGAACAATGTCTTGCTTGGTAAGTCTCTCAATCTGAGCACACATGTGATTTGTAACAGAAGCTGCATGCTTCAGGCTGACTCGGAAAAGCTGCGGCAAGCATGGATTAAGGCTGTTCAGACCAGTATTGCTACAGCATATAGAGAGAAAGGGGATGAATCTGAGGTGAGTTTAAAAAACAACCAAACTACAACCCCCTCTTTAGATCCTGAAAATAGAGGAAAAACTCTTTTTGAAAGGGAGGAAAAAAATCTATTGTTTGTCTTCCAGTGGAAATGCAATGAAACTTTGAAGGCTGTAATTTATATGTAATGTGTCTTTCACTCCATCTTACTACTGTTACTTTGGCCTATATTTTTTGATGAGATTTTTCTGTAGTGTAATTAAAATTCATAGGATACTCCTATATTCAGTTCTGTATTTCTTCTAAAAAGGTAAATATTTTTTCAGTTCTATGGCTGTCCATGGCCTTAAATGCAAAAGTTAATTTTCTAGGATTCTGGTGCATGGTCAGTATTTGTAGGACTTTTATTTCTTTAATTTAGTGTATGTGTCTCTATTTCTTTTTTAGAAACAGGAAAAGAAATCATCCCCTTCTACTGGAAGCCTAGAATCTGGCAGTGAGACAAAAGAGAAGTTGTTAAAGGGAGAAAGTGCTCTACAGCGGGTTCAGTGTATTCCTGGTAATGCTGCCTGCTGTGATTGTGGTTTGGCAGATCCTCGCTGGGCCAGTATCAACCTAGGAATCACGCTGTGCATTGAGTGCTCTGGGATACACAGGTTGGGGAACTCTTCAGAATGGTATTTCATTTGTGTGTTGACTTAATTAGGAAGGGTGGTGTTTGCTGCTTCAAAAGTATATTGAAGCAAGATTAGATTCCCCTGTTTGTAAACAGAATTAAGGTGACTGCTTTATTTGCATAAATTAATGGTAAAGCTGTCTGAGGTAAGACATAGCATGTAGTTACAAGTTAATATTTTTTTCATGCTGTTTAGGAGCTTGGGAGTCCACTTTTCAAAAGTAAGATCTTTAACGCTGGATTCATGGGAACCTGAACTTCTAAAGGTATGATAGTATGTTTGAAATAGGTTTCTATTTCGTTCTTAGATTGTTGTTCTAAAGCCTCTGCATCAGAAAGTTCAATGCAGGAAAAACTTGCATTTGTACCCAGTGCATGTCTTGCACTTTTGAGCAGAAAATTCTTATAGTTGTGTATTGGTTTTTTTTCAATTCACACTTTCTTCTAATACGTGCAGTAGCAGTAGTCATTTTGAACTTACAAGCCAGAACAACTCATGACACCTTCAGGTGCGCAAATGCACTATGAGTAGTAAGATTCATCAGATACTTTCAACATATAAAAAGAGAAATTTGTTTACAGACCTATAATATAGTGGGCTGAAAAATTTTGGAAGTGCTATGTTAGCCTAAAGCATGATCATACTTGAAAATTCGAATGTCAGCTCTTACAGTGAGATCTGGATTTCGTACTCCTGCTGGCTTATAGGAGAACACTTGTGCAACTGCTCTTGTGTGTTGTTTGTGTGCCAGAATTCTAGCTTGAAACATGGTTATGCAAATAATGTGACATTGAAATACCAAAATAGGAACTCATTCATGGATACATTTATGCAACTGGGTAATGGATGCAAAGCGTTTGTTTCTAGTTGAGATATTCTGGTACCTAGGTATTGCTTTATTCTGAACAAACAAAAGGCAGTGTGAGTAGGGGTGTTTCTCTTGTGGTTTGACCTTAAATAATTTTAGTATCAATGTGTTCATGCTGCAGAAACAAACAGAACCCCCAAAAAACCACACCCCTTGTCCTGTTCATGTAAATTCCAGAGCTGAATATTCTACCTGATATTAGAAGCAAGAAGTCTGTTCATTGCTGTCAGTAAACTGGGCTTCATGGGCCAAATTCTCCTTGAAGTAGTATCTGCAGGCTGTTTTTTGTCTTTGATCTTTTTCTGTAGACGTAACAGATTATGGTTTAGCAAAAATCCCTGTTGGACAAGATGGAATAGAATTGATTGAATTGTCTCTTGCCAATGGGATAAGAATAGCCACTGACAAAGCTGGTGGCAAAGAGTTAATTAACCTTTATTAATGAGGCCTGAGTGTGATTCTGATTGCACAGAAAAGATTCTTGAATGACAGATTATCATTTTTGCAGTTCTTTTTCAGAAGGGAATGGCACTTTAAAAGAGTGACTATATCTTTTGCTATCTTACTCAGTTTGGTCTCTATTCACTGTTTGTTTCATTATCATGATATAAACCCATGCTTATTTCTGTAAGTGTACTATTACCAGTGTAAATACTGTGAAGTTAAAAACAACTGAATAGGTAGATAAAGCCTTTTGCAACTGTATTTGAATTTATTTATTTTGCTTCTTAGCTTATGTGTGAATTGGGAAATGATGTTATAAATAGAATTTATGAAGCGAAGTTGGAAAAAGTGGGAGTAAAGAAGCCACAACCTGGAAGCCAAAGGTAGTGATTTGTTAGCAGTGGATCTTACTTCCTTTTCGTGTTGCTTCCTTCAGCCTCCAGCTTTAAAAGATGCTGCCAGTTAACTGTCTAACACTCCTTTGATTTATTCTGTTTCCCTTTATCACCAGTAAGTGTTGCTCTCCCCCTTTTCTTACTCTCTGTTGTTATTGGGTATTCCTTCTGTTGGTCCCTTTTGGCTTCTCTTGTTCATTTGTTCTTTTTCTGATCTCACTCCCTCCTTTTGCTACTCTGTAGCATCCTGTTCTGTCTCATCAACATGAGCATGTTGATTTTGTTTCCTGTCTGCTTTGAATCATCTCAGCCAGCTATACTTGGTCTGTGAGAGCTCCTGGAAGGAGCCTGTGGTGGTGCCTTTTGTTTACAGTGACTTTGTTCTTGAGTTTGACTTTCATTCCCTGATCCCCAGAATGTTCTCTTCTTTCTGCCTACTGCTCATTGTACATGAGCTCTGCTGCTTTACAGCAATCTTCTAATGATTGTACTACTGTCTTCCAGTTCTCTGATGCTAATTTGTATTTGAAGGTAGTTCCCTAATGTTTTGTTCTGCTGTATAAGACGTCTTTTAAAATGGTTTTTTTTTACCAGCTTCTCAGTTCTGTGCTGCTTGCCATCAGGCAGTCTTATGGTATAGAAAACAGCATTTTATAAAGCATTGCCAATTTGGAGACAGTGATAATAATGTAAATGATGTAGGAGATTTGCTAGATATTCCTTCTAGTGGTAACTGCTTTTCAGCAGTTTCAATAGTAATACTTTTATAACCCCTTTCTTCAGTTTGTCACAATTGATGTGTGCATCTTAAGATGATAACCTCAAGTTACAAGAAAAAATATTTCACTATGTGTTATGGAACGCTGTAGCTGTGCCTACCTGAGGCTTATTCTTGTTATGGTTCTCTTGTGCAATCTTGATGTTCCTTTAACAAATGTTGCAATTTATATTTACCTAAGAAACTAAATATATTCTATATTATTTGGTTATTAACAATGTAAAACATGTATAAAGAATTAATTCCAAGAAGTGATAGTTGCATTAGATGATTGTGTATTAGGTCCCTTCCAACTGAAATAGTCTATTCTAAGTAACATAGAGTAGCTAATGCTTGTTTCTTCCACATACCACTTTCTAAAGTCTCTGCCTGAAAGAAAATATACATATATGAACTCCACAAAATTACTTTCTTTTGAGCCTTATGCAAAACTCAAGAATCCAGAAAGAGTTAGCCAGTGTGCTGCTCTTCTTTCTGATGAAGATCAAGTGTGTCTTGTGCAATGCCAAACTACAGTTTTGGTTTCTGGCTTTAGTATGAAATGGATGTTCTTTTAATACATGAAGATATTAAAATATTAGCTTACTAACTCCAGGGATTTTGTATCTGACAGGCAGGAGAAGGAGGCATACATCAGAGCTAAATATGTGGAAAGAAAGTTTGTAGAGAAGCAGCCTGCATCAGTATCTCTGCTTGAATCTGGAACAAAAGTTTTGTCTCAAAGTCAGGAAGAGAAAAGGCACAGTGGCCCTGAGAAATCCCTTTTGGCAGGGGAACAAGGTGCATCATCCCAAAAAGGTATTTATACACTTCTCTCCTTAACTGTATTTCACGTGTTTTTTAAAGTAGCATGGATTTGTATTAATTGATTTCCTGCCTCATGCAGAGAAATCAGAATCTGCCTTCAAATGGGTCATAGCCTAATTCAGAAGTATAGGGGGGGAAAAGACTTGTTCGGAGATGTGCATTTTTAGGTGGGGAAGAATGTGTATGGAGTGGGGATGCTTATCATTCAGCAACATATTAACCACCTTCTTTCCTTCGTATTTTCATTCTTCTTAATTTTTCCAATAACGTTCTTTCCTGCCCTATCCCTTCCTTACTGCCTGCTTTGTGCTTTGCTAACTTGCATGTCCCAGCGGTTGCTGTAAGTAGCGACGAGGCGAGGCGGGAGTCTCTGTTCTGTCCTGATGAACTAGATTCACTCTTCTCCTACTTTGATACCTCTTCAAAACTACGTAGTAGTAAGTACTACAGCTATGGCGTGTTCAGTATTTGCAGTAGTGATCCATTTTGTGTTGTGGCCATCTCCCTGCCTTTAATCCATTGTCTCCAGGCTACTGCATCACTTAGTGTTTTCATGAAATAATTTAAGCTTTTTTACTTATCCTGATCTTTTCCTTTCTAATAATCTTTGACACTTATTATTATTGTAAGTGTTATGGTTGCAGTATGTGACTTCATATTTTTCTATGGATATGTTAAGAATATTGAATAATAGCTTGTCATTTAAAAAAAAAAAAAACAAACCACTGTATTCAGGACCAAGTATAAGAGCTTGCTTTATTATCATGGTATCTGTGAAAAGTAGGTAACTTACAGTCAGCATAGTAATTACAGTTTCTCCCCAAAACAGTACGAAGCAGTGACAGTGGGATCCAGCAGAGTGCTGATGACAGCAGAGAAGGCCTTGCCTCTACTATATCAGCTAACAGTTTGTATGAACCAGGTGCGTTAGACTCTGCACTTCAAGATGAAAATTTAGTCGCTGCTTCTTGGTAGCATGCTCTTCTCAGAGATTCGTACTTGTTGATACAATTCATGTCTCTTCTGTCCTGGTGGGCTGAAATATTTTTAACAAGGGTAGTAATTGCTTGAGTGACCTTTCTCTCCTCCAGGCTTGTTAGCAAGAATGACACTGAATCCTTCTAAATGAGTTCAGAGAATTATGTTTTTTTCCAGTCAGATGATACTGAACCAGAACATTGATTTTTAGCAGAGAGTGCAATGCTACATTTTGATAGCAGACAAGTCTCCATGGAAATGCATAATCTTCTTATAAATAGTTAAATCCTTGGAGATAGAATTCCTGTAAAGTCACAGATAATAGGCTTTTATGTGTTATTTGAGCATTCTTGCTTAATTTTTGTTTTCCACTTACTGGAATTGCAATGTCTTTAAACATTATCCTCTTTCTATTCAAAGTTTTATAAATTTATTGATGAAATTATTTGCTATCTAATATAGCATCCTGAGCTGACAGATGTATTGAGTATGGCTTGTCAAAATACCCAAAACATTTATTTATAAAGCAAACTTACTTTTCTGCATCAAAACACTCTCCTGAGGTATGTTTTACATGCAGTAGTTCACAGCTGTGGTTTGTAGGCAAGCAGCATGTGGCTTGGATCCTTTCTTTGACTGCGTTGTAGAAACACGATGCTGTAACTCATAAAAGCTTAGATATAACAATGTCTTTATCTCCCAGACTTCACTCTGTATAACTCTTACTGAGATTAAAAGAAAGGTTATGCTTTAGTCCAAAAGATTATAGCCACAGTGAGTAATTGATAAATGGCAATGGTATCTTTTAATGAAGCTAAAGATATATTTATATGACTACATCCCTGCAGGAAATTAGTTTTATTCATATCTTGCCATACAGGGTAAAACACATTTCTAACCTAAAGTAAATTCTTAAAAATTACGTAGGATAGGTAGATTGAAGGATACATGTGTCAGTGATGTGGAGAGAATGTTTTCTGGGCAGTAATAATTCTGTGCAGTGGCTATGCCTGAATGCTGGAACAAGCTAAAGGCATCTGTGACTTCTCCCAGCAGAATGGGGCAACAATGCACAGCAGTCTGCAAAGCCTGAGCTACCTTATGCCAGAGGAATTACATTTTTCGTCATAATTCCAGGAGGTACCTTATAAAAACAGGGATTACAGATAAGCTTTTCCTTCTTTCTTTTTCAGAAGGAGACAAGCAAGAGTCTTCTGTGTTCTGTGACTCCAAACAGCCTAGTCCAGGACTGCAGCTGTATCGAGCTGCCTTTGAGAAGAATCTTCCCGATATGGCAGAAGCATTGGCCCATGGAGCTGAAGTAAACTGGGTCAATGTAGAAGAAAACAAAGCAACACCACTCATTCAGGCAGTGCGAGGGGTATGTGATGCAGAGCACCGACTGATGTGGGAGGAAGGGAAGGGGAATAATAGGGATATTTCTGTGTCACTGTTCCTTTTGAACTGCTTGCTTCTCTAATGAATGATAATGTGATGCTGCAGTTGTCTTTACAAGTTGTTTCTGAACTATTTTTTTCCCTGTTAATGCTTTGTTTGGAATTATATAACCTAGCAGCGTTTACATTTGATATGGAAGCAACTCCTTTTTTCTTTTGCCACATGACTCAGTGGGATGAAGGCAAACAGCTTTGGCTCTTACTCTAGAGATCTGGTGTTGAATTGTTTCTTTGCTTTTATTCCGCAGGGTTCGTTGGTTACTTGTGAATTCTTGCTGCAGAATGGGGCCAATGTGAACATCAGGGACATGAAAGGAAGAGGACCCCTGCACCATGCCACAGTTCTAGGACACACTGGGTAACTCACTGCTCCAGAGTTTGTAAATGACCATCCTTTACTATAGTTGTTAATGTGAAGCTTCTTCATTCCCCAAATATTCTGGCATTTTAATATATTTCAGGTAATCTAGATTTTTCTTAAACTTTTGTGGTGAGAGAGGAAATAAGATTTGGAATTAGCAGTCTCATCCGCTAGCAAAACACACATCTATAAACACATTTTGATCCATTTTGTAAAAATCTGTATTTAATAATGCTTTGAAATAGCGTGAATAGGTGCAGACACATGTGATTTTTCTTGTTTTCCTAAGAAATATGATACAAATAGGAGAAATAGTGGTGTGTGAGGACTAAGGCTTTTTCTGACTCATCCCACCTGAGCATTGCACTGAGTGTGTCTCATTTCAAAATGTACTGCATTACATCTTGAGTTTTGGAATCAGGCTTTTAACTGAAACCTTGTACCAGCTCGATTCATATGAACACATAATAATCTGGCTGGTGGCCAGACTCTTTGCATGCATGAATTCTAAACAGAGTAGAACAAGTTGGGAGAGTTTCGTAGAATCGTAGAATGGTTTGGGTTGGAAGGGACCTTAAAGATCATCTAGTTCCAAACCCCTTGCTGCGGGCAGGGACACCCTCCACTAGACCATGTTGCCCAAAGCCTTTAAGACATAAGCTTAGTCAGTATGCCCTGTTTATAAAGATGAATAATTATAATAGCAGAGAAAAATGAGATCAGTTTCTATTGGGTAAATCAGGCACCTGTGAACTGCATTCATTCCTATATTGATTTATCCTGCTCAGTGGTTCTTGTCTGTTGTGGTAAAAGGAATGAGGTTTTTTGGTTCTACAACCGAAGATGATCCAGGAGGGTAGAATCTTGCTTCTAAAGGGTTCAACTCCTTGTTGCATGAGTGTGAATTGAATTAGGCTATCTTTCTAATGTGGATTAAGTAATTAAAGGTTAACACAGTAGTAAACAAAACATCTTAATTGTTCTAGATGAATAGGGCTGAGTTGATATGTTCAAGAGACTTTTGGTGATTTAAGCCAAATACGTTGGGTCTCTGGCTTGAATTTATTTGCTCTTTTTTCCTTTATTGTTGTGAAAATTATTCTTAAATGCTTTTTCTAAACAGACAAGTGTGTTTATTCCTAAAACGAGGAGCAAACCAGCATGCCACTGATGAAGATGGGAAAGATCCATTGAGTATAGCAGTAGAAGCTGCAAATGCAGATATTGTAACATTGTAAGTTGTACATTCTGTTTTTGATTAGGGTACTAAATTTTCCTATTCTGTTTCAAATTAAAAATACAAGAAATGTCAAAATTCCTTTACATAAAAACAGGGAGAGCAAAAGAAAAGAGAGAGACTGCACTACCTGTAGATGACCTCAGTGGTGTGAGGTTCAGGAGTGCATTGTAGGTCTTGAATTGCAGTCTTTTTTTTAATGCTTTAGAGGTGACATTGTTCTTTTTGTTTCCTAAATCATAGGTTGCGTTTAGCAAGGATGAATGAAGAAATGCGTGAATCAGAAGGACTGTATGGACAGCCAGGTCAATACTCTACTAATAACCATACTGAAATGCAGTATAAGAAGTGTATTCAGGAATTTATTAGTTTACAACTAGATTCTTAGGATCTGAGGAAAATTTACGGTCGCTTCATACAATAATGTTTCTTATAAACAACCGAAACATGTTAGAGCTTCATTGAAATTCACTGGTGTGACTTTGTCAGATTATTTAGGAGAACTAAAAGGAGAGTGTTTAAAGTGCATTATTATAGTAGTGTATGTTACTACAGCCATTACCAACCTGTTTTTTGCTGGTAGTTGTCCACAGTTTTCTCCTATTGATGTTTCACTGAAATTCACATAATGTTAGGATTTACCTGACGTTATTTAATAGCAGCCTTCTGACCCGGGTTGCTCAGAGATAGTTGAGGAGTTCATCTTATAACAGGATACCATTCTTCTGTGGAATGGTCCGTTGCTTCTTTTTTTAAGAAAAAATGCTTGCACACCAATGTAAAAATGTATATCAAATATTTCAAAGTAACTCCAGTCCGAAATAGGAAAGTATTATTTCATCAGATCTTATTTTTAAATATTTTTATTTGTTAAGATACAAATAAGAAACAAAACAGTCATTCTTAAGTATGTATTTTTTTATACATAATATCTTACCATTTGATTAAAAAAAAAAAGAATTAGCAGACATTTGAGCCAACTGGTACAAAAAAGTAACAGATTATATTGAATGAATATGTGCAACTTTATTCTCAGGCACTCAGTCCCAATTTACACTAATTTACACTATGTTCTGATGTGACATTTATGCAAGTCAATTCTTCTATTATGGTATGCTTCCATAGGAACATAACTTAATCTCATGCAAATACCAATAATGAAGGCACACTTGATTGTCAAGTTGGCTAAAAACACACTGCTATAGCTGGCAGTAGTGAAAGGCAAATGTTACTCTTAAGGTTGAGTGCTGAGTACTCTTGGCTCACTGCTGTAAAGCCCTTGTGTATTTTCCACTGGTTCATAAGGATTGTGTGTGCTTATGTCTTTTACTAGGTTGGGGCTGGAATACACTTGAGGGGCAACACTAAGTCTCATGTCAATATCCCAGATGAAGTCTATTAAATAAACCAAATTTATTTAGTTTTGTCCTTAAGAATAGGTGTTTTTCAAATTTATTTTTAAACAAATCTAGGAAATTCAAATTACAACAATAAAAGTACTATAGACACAGAGCTGCTCTGCTTCTTTGGCAGAGCAACAGATAATTTAAAAGTATATACTTGATTATGAGTTTAATTGTTATCAAGTTATACTTGATTATGAGTAGGAAGAATTCCCTACTCTGAAAATGCAGCAGGCTACATGTATGAAAAAAATCTATTGCCAGTTTGGCCATTTTGAATGTAAAGCTGTTTTCTGATATAATGCATACTACTTCACTGACAGGGTGAAGCTAACAAATACTGAAGTATTTTTGAGTCTCGTCATTTTTATTAAGAAGTAAAAATAATAACTATCAGTTTCAAATAGTAAAATGCCTTTGTTTTAAGGGAGGGAGGTATTTTGACTCAAAAGTTCTGTTCTAAGTCATAAATGAGTATTTTAGATTATTTAATTGACTTGTCACAAATCCAAAATTATAAACCAGAAAATGTGTTTTTATGGTTTGTACAAAAAGCCTCAGTTGGTTACTAAATGTTACAAATGTTTAGTAAAATGTTTCATTCATAACAAATACAGGGACTATTTACATGAAGATACAAATGTGTTTAAATTGGAGATGGGGGGTACTATTTTCCCTGACATCTTGTTAAAAAATACTTTTTTAGACAGATTCTTCAATTAGGTAGATGATATAAAAAGCTGGCTAAGTCTTTCATTGAAAATATCTTGACCTTTTTATCAGTTTGTATTGCCATAGAATAGAGAGACTGCAGTTGATACAATCTGATCCAGATATTTTACAGATCATATCTGATCCTTGTAAACGGACGAGACTGACAATGGACAGTAGAGCTGCCCCAGGGGATGGAGCTTGCCCAAATTCAGGGGGGAGGGATATCACTAGAGTAATTTTTGAAATTCAGGCCACAAGCTGTAGCATGTTGTCTTGGCCAGCTGATCTTGCTATATTTTTGGATGGCATAGCTCTGCTCTCCTCAATTCTTGCTGAAGTTTATTTTAAAAGTTGAAGTAAATATTCAAATGTTTTAAATGTTAATGTCTGCTGGCCTGCTAGAAGGGTTGGGCAAATGTGTAAGTGTAAGCTCAAAACCTCTCTGCTGTCACAAGGTGTGATACCTTTATGTGGTCGTAGAGGAGGCAGGTCTTTTTCACTGCATATACGTATTAAATTTTCTGCACTGCCCTTATTTTAGAACTCCTTTTATCCAAAATTATGATTCTAGAAGAAAATAAGGCTTTCTCAAGACAATTGTATGTTTGCTGTGAGCTATGTGAGAGTAAATATCGATGTATGAGTTTGCTGTCTTCAGAGTGAAGCCAACTGCCTATTTCTCTGCTTTAGTAATGCAGTTGAGAAACAATTACTAGTGTAGCTAATGGCATCAACATTTCTAAATTAAATATACCTGGCTGGTTTGAGCTCCTGAGAGAATGTATATATTCCTTTGCAAGGTACAGTTGGTCTTCCAAAATATTCCTAGAAAAGGAACTAGCTGAAACTAGCTTGTTCCACAAAAAATTTGTTTCTGGTGGTAGAAGCCATATGCACCATTGTACTGTTTCTTGTAAAATACTTGAGTGCTCATCTTCTGGTGCTACAGTATGTCTGCTAACTATTTGATATCAGTATTGCTACTTTTTCTTCCTGTCTTTTCTTGAATGTATGATGTGTGCCTTTTGAGTTACTCTAGTGTTAAATGGTAAAGCAGTGTTACAGTATTTTTGTACATAAAATCTGCACTTTAGGGAAAACATTGCTTGGAAAGGGAATTACCAGAATTCAATTTTAAAGTAGGATTTTAAAATAATTATAAGGTTTACAGTATTAAGTATTTTAATGCAGCATACAAACTAAAGGGGCACTTTATTTTAGTCTATTTTTGTATGTAATATTTTTGTTATGTAATAGAGCCAAAAACAGAGCCACAATGTATCTTGCAAAAATAGCTTTTGGGTTTTCTTTCAAGTTAGTGTGAAAGAACCAAATATGGCAACTTGAACTACAGTACTAGTTCACCAGTGGAACCCACTTCTGTATTAAAAGCATAATTGCTTTTATCATACAAGCTTGATTCCAATTTGTGTTCTTCATAGCTGGTTTTTTTTGGTGAATGTTACAGCTCCCTTCATTCTGTGCTTATCTCCCAGTGCAAGCAGTTATCAGAAATTGTTACAATAAAATGTGTCCTGTGCCTGCTTCATCTCCAGAATATACTTGAAACTGAATCTGAAAACCAAAAGGGAATTTCACTAGAACTAACGTTTCCTAGTAGAGCAGTATTGAATGTATTTATCTTTTAAAGTCTGGGAAGAATTGTGTCATTACATCTCTATATCAATCCACATGGTATCCATGTTAAATATTTCTGGAAGGTCAGTTGTTATTTCTGAAAGTGTTTTCAAATGAATGGAGTCTCATCTCCAAAAGAAAAATAGTTCTAATATTGGAAATGTGCATTAAAAGGTGGAAAAACAAAACCAGTGTAACTTACCAGTGTAACTTTCCACTGTGGTGCAAACTTTTAAACACAAAAAAAAAAAAATTTTTAAAACTGCCCTTTGGAAAAAAAGTGGTGGAATAATACTTTTCTTCCACAATCTATTGGGGGGAAAAAATCTTAATGTTCAACATATGTGGAGAGAGAAATTTTGGGTTGATTTCTTTGTCGTGCTATTAATCAAGCTGTCAGCAAGTGCTGGAATCTTGTGTCCTGGGTGGTCACCTGTGTTGGGAGGACAGTAAAATTTGGATGGCTGCATAGTTCCTGACCAGACCAAATGTTTTATTCATTTAATTCCTTTTGGAGGCAATAGGCTATGGTTAATGTTTTAAAATGAAACCTGAACTCAAGGCCCAAAATGCTGCAGCAGATGAAAGAATGTAAAAATGTCTATTTTAAAGTGGCAGAAGAATGGCTTGGCAATGACTCAAGAAGTAATCATTCCTGAATGTGTTTTCCTGTGTAGACAAGGAGGGGGAGGGAGACAGGCCTGGTGGAAATCGCTGCCATCCCTCATTTTGGAATGTGCACAACTAGTCGGGTTGTGTTTAAGCACAAAGGGTGAAGATTTTTAAAAAAAAAAAATTTTTTTTTTAAGGAAAGTATCATCACTCTTGTGGATAAAACTAAAAGATGTAATGAATATTCAGTAATGCAGGTAAAAATCTGTTTGAAGTAATAGGCCAAAAGGATTTATGAAAGATAATTTCTCTACTCAAGATTGCTTTTTTATATTACTGCTTGCTGATTGTTTCTTTCATGAAGAGTTCTGTCTGGCTGTAAGACTTCTGACCTCTGTTTCCAAGTAAATTTTTATTTATGCCATAATTCTACTTTTCTAAAGAGAATCTTGGTTATACTTCTTTGCAAAAACAAGGATTTTATTCTTTAATAGCTAATAAACATTTTTCTTTTTACATTGCTTTAAAATGCTTTCATTTTTCCTTTCTAACTCTGAACTTTCCTCTGTGTGGCTGCCTGTGAGGTACTATTTCAGGTATAGTTTGGCTTTAATTTGCTTCTACAGAATGTGCATGCGAGTAAACAGTCCCCAAGAGTTCACATCAGCATCATTCCATCTATAAGCAATGTTTATACATGAATAAGTGTTTTACAGTAATTGGTAGGATAGTAGGGTGTTTGTGCAATGGTGGGTCATATTAACTATTACAAATGTTTTAAACCGTTTCCTTTTTCTTTTCTACCTAGGAGATGAAACTTATCAGGATATTTTTCGTGACTTTTCTCAAATGGCATCAAATAATCCAGAGAAGCTAAACCGTTTCCAGCAGTCAGATTCCCAGAAGTCTTAAGTGTCAAGATGGAAAAGAACCTGATGCTTATAGTGCAAGACTTTTTTTTTTTTTACTTTAACAGGATGAATTATATGCATTTTGTTAGATAGTTTGGATAAAATGACCACTCCGATGTAGCTTTAGATTGTGGTAGCTGGGGAAATGTATGAGTTGTTTTATGTTTCACAGTACGTATACCTCAGCAGCTGAAGAGGAGGTTTAAAAAAAGGAATACCTGCTAGCTCAGTATAAAAGTAGTACCTGTTAGCAAGTACAAAGTTTGTCTGCAGCTCATACCTAAAACTAGCAGAGCGCAGCTATATGAGCTGCAGACTTGGGATGGCAGGATGGTCAGACCAGCTTTGCTATTTAGTATTGAGTGCTGTCATCGCTCTCCCTATCGCCATAAAGAACGTGCCTCTGACAAGAAGGTCTGGATTGCATTTTCTGGGACTGTTTTGAACAGAAATCGAGCAATGACTTACTGAGTTGTTCTATTTGTGGGCCTATAACTTAACAGATTCTCTTGTTCCTACGCTGACTCTGGTTAGAGGTAGGCTGTTAATAACAAGACATGGTAACTCCTGCCCTTTTGCAAGCTCTTTCACAGTGGAAGCTTTAGCACCAGGCTGGCCTTTATGCTAGTGACTGCGGGTCAGTCACAATAGGTATATGTCCTGGAGGACCAAACTTCTAAGAGCAGTCTATTTTCTTTTTTTTTCCTCTTAATTTAAACTTTCTGTGCAGCAAGTATACTTTAAATAAGCATGTGGAACCTTTCATGAGAAATAAACTTAATCCTTCTGGACACGATGTGGGGTTGGTTTGTAGTATTTTCACATCAAAACTTGACATTTGAGACATGAAAATAAATATTGAGCCAATGGAGTTTGTGTAGAGCAGCTGTACAAAGGCTGTTTGTTACCTTTTCTTTTTGCTGTTCTACTAGCCCTAAGCTGAATCTATAAAATCTCATATGTAATGCAGCCACCCTAAATTTAGGGCAATCAGTCTTTTATATCAGGAAGCAGTATCTTCTATATAATCCACAAAGATGTGTATGTATACATGTTGCCTAAACTAAGGTGTGCACAAGAAAACCTTAGGAATTTTGCTGCACATTTTTGCAAAGTAACAAATGAGCAGTCTCCAGCTACGTTCTGAGGGCAGCAACACAATTTTCTTTATTCAATAGTGAGCTCCACTCTGGTGATGTGCATGCCTAAACAGTGTCTGTAGATAGATGCTTATGTGTTAGGTTATTTAATACCTAGATACTAATCACCTAAAGCCCTAAACCAGCAGATGCAATTCTTTATGCTCTATTTGTCTGCCCTATGGACAACTTAAGGAGAATTTTTAGGTAACGTAGTATCAACATGAATTTTTAATAATCCTGATAGCCATGGCATTATGCTAACCTGCTGTTTAAATGTATTTAGGAAATGAATTGGCTTTTCTGCAAGCTAGCTAAGATAAGCAAAATTGGGTAAAAAGATTCTGTAAACTATGGTAAAATTAAACTTTCTGGCACTGTAAGTTTTAACAAGATAATTCAAATATTTATAATTTTGCATCAAATGTATAATAATGCATCAAGTCTGAATGATTATTGCCGCAAAGTTAATAGCGTTTCAGAATTGTCCAATAGATTATTTTTCCAAGCAGAAGAATCTTAGAAAGCAGTTCTTGCTTCATGTGTGTTCTAATTATTCTAGGAAAAGCAGATTTTGCCCATTTAAAGAGTGTATTTAGTCTGAATAATAAGAAATTTAGGAATATCACCTGTAAGCAGTGATTTCTAGTAAGTTGTTTTTTAAATAGCTGTCTATGAAATGATAATATACTTCCTAATCTGCAATATTTAACAGCAATGGATGTTTTGGTAGATCTTAGAGAAAGTGAAATTCCCAGTGTACAGATGGGGCTATGTAAGATATGACTGTGTAGTATACACTTTAGATACAAGTTTTTTCTAAAGATTTGTCTTTTGCAGCCTACGTGACAGGCAGTATATAGTGTGATTGGCTGTAATGTAAAGCTACCTAAAACTTACTGGCATAATTGCTATCTCAGTCCATGCTGCTGGAAAACTGGCCCAGACACTTACTTCGAATCTCCACTGGTATTTTCCTTCCTAGCCACAACAATCTCTGACAAATTTTGCAGGATGACTTCCTGTAGACAGAAAAAGTTTCTTCCCTGTAGCTCTGCAGATGTGCTGCATTCCTGGCTGCCATCTGTCTGGGAAGCAGTATGGGTCTATTTATGCTAGAGGACTACTAACAAACCCGATCCCAGGTTGTATTACTCTCGTCGGGAGCTCTGGAGTTTTCATGGTTCGGGGAGTAGCTATGTCAGTTTGGACCCTGCAGCCTCCTTGCCCAATCCCTTTAGGTATGGTAGGATGTCCAGTATAAACTCCATTCAGTTAAAGGTTTTTTTTCAGGCCAGGTGCAATACACATGCAAACGTGTTGCTCATCAACTAAAATGAGTATGCCATTAAGTTCTGTGCAATGTACTGAGAGCTTAGTCCTGCCCGACGCTGGCCGGCTCAGTGCTCCAGGGCCCCTCTAACTCGCAGGATTCAGCCCTCGGTAATATAAAGTGTGATTATCGCCAAGGCTCTGAAGATCTGGATTCCATAGCGAGTTTTGACTCAAGCGCTAATCTTCTGTTCAGTAATGTTAGAAAACTTCCCTTTTTATTACAGTATGTATCTGAGTATAACTAGGTTACTAGACAGTAAGGCTCCGTTGTGGGTTAACTTCTTGTACTCTGTACCAGATAATGGCAAGCTTCAATTCCAGTTCCTGTTTCTCTGTAGGTATGACATGTAGTAGATCTTAATCGGTGAGGTACAAAGTAGTAGATTCCTAACACAGTTCAAAAATCAGCTTTCACATGGATTTTTAGTAATTTACTAGATAGACCAGTGAAAGATTTTTGTAATGTTTTTCCTAGCCAGAGTTAGATCATGTGTTCCAAAAGTCTCTTGGAAAGACAAATGTCGAAGAGCTCAACATATATTCTGATGCATCTTGATTTCAGAGGTGTAATTCACTTTCCCTGTTGATTAAAATGGTGTCCGGTGTCTCCTTAGCGGTCTGTATTGTTTTGATTGTCCATAAGGTTTCATACTTTATGTTAATGTCAGTACAGTCCATATAAACTTAAATTGCTGAGTTGTCATACTGAATTATGCCACTAAATTATATTAGACATACTGGACTTTGTTCCTATCAGTTTGGGTGAAGGCCCAAGTCTGGTAGAAGTCTCTTTGCTTTCACAAGCTGCACATACAGCAGTCTGAACGCACATTTCGGTTGTTCATTAGCACATTGTGGACTTCAGCCTCCTTGCCGACTAGGACCTAATCCAGGAAGTCACCGAAATCGGTGGCGGTCTTTCCACTGATGTCAGCAGCTTTGGATTGTACCTTTCGTGGCTTCTAATGTTAGTGCGCTAAGGAAGGATCTTGTATCAATGCTGTGTTTTTCACTCTGGGGGGTTTTATATTTTATCTATTTATATACTGAGCTGAAATAGTTTTAGAAAATGCAACCAGACCTTCCAACTGCTGTCAGCAAATCCCCATACAAGAGGAAGTTTTTCCTGTTTTGCAGTGTGACATCAGTACACATGCGTTGTCCAAATTAGTAGAGTTCTGGGTAGAGCAAAAACTTTGTAGCACTAAAGAAAAAAGGTGAGAACGCGATTAGGCACCGGACTGGCTGAGATGTTTCCAGGGCTTCGGTGCTTCTCTGCAGCCATCTGTTACAAAGTGTGGATGTGAACTCTGCTTCGTGACCGTGAGAATCTCAAGTGTCACAGTGACTGTGAAAGGACCGTTTGATAGAATTACAAATAATGTGTAAGGACTGAGGCTGTAATATTTTTACACTGTCAAAAGGACTGAGCTGATTATTCTGTTTATTCACTGACAGTATTTTGAGAGTCAGTTTTGCAAACTACCCTCTCTGCCTGTTCACTGATGGATGTTTTTTCTTGCACAAAACTACGTTTTTAAAACAGGGACAACTCCGGAAAGGCAGTACTGGGGAAAAGGATGAATGTACCACTTTGGTATGTCCCCTTTCATATGCTTGCTTTCTCTTTCTGCATACGCTATTTTCTTGTTTCTCTTCCCATGGAAGGAGATGATAGAGGAGGAAAAAAAATCCCACTCGCTTTTCTGTTACCATCCCCAGTTTTCCATGTTTTGATAGAAATCATCATTTCCTCAAGCAGAGAGGAACTTTTTTTTCCTTTATCCACCCGTCTCTCTGTACTTGGCGGTTTTTAAGCATTCCAGCAGTAAGATGCTCGCGTTCTCCTGTGAACCCTTCCCCCTTAAGGTGTAACTGTAAAGAACGTGTAACCACCCCTCGTTCGCATTTATCAAGGCTGTAGACTTTGTATCTAAAACTTGAATGTAGTTTTCTGTAGTTCGTCATTGTAAATGATTGAAACGTACTATTACCTTTGTAGTTAACCGCCTGTACATGCTGTAAGGATTGTAAATACTGTACTTGATTAAACCTTTGTATGCTGGCACCGCCTTCCCTGGGGCGCGGGGCGGGCGCGGGGCGGGCGCGGG